CTTCTCTTTGCTGACTCTTCCCATCTCTGCTTTTCATCTGTCCATATTGTCGGAAGTTTGACTTCTAAACTTTGTATTTAATACACACATCACATCACATCACATTACCTTACCATACCTTACCTTACCTTACCTTACATTTCATATTATACTATATTATATTATATTATATTACATTATATTAAATTATATTATATTGTATTATATCATATCATATTATATTATATTATATTGTATTATATTATATTATATTGTATTATATTATATTGTATTATATTATATTGTATTATATTATATTATATTATATATATTGTATTATATTATATTATATTATATCATATTATATTATATCATATTAAATCCTATTATATCATATTATATTATATTATGGTGTATGGTATATTATATTGTATATTAACATGTATATCATATTGTATCTTATATTGTATGTTATAAGCTATATATTATATTGTAAATTATATTGTATATTATATATATTATATTGTGTGATATTGTGTGTTATATTGTATGTTCTATTCTATTGTATATATGAATGAGAGATACAAGCTTGTCCCTTGCCTCTCAACACGAGGGCTTGGCAATGCTGGCCGATCTCTAGCTGTCCCCACCGGTCTTCCCAGTGATTCCCAGTGAGTAGACTTGCAGGCAATCAAACTGATTCCGGCCTGGAGGAATAATGACGCTGATCCAGGCTCCTCAGTTCCAACAATTTTCCGTGTCCCGCCGCTGGTCAAACTCTGGTGTGATCCCTAGATATGTGCGTTGGGAGCTTCATCAAGATTTGGCTCAGCGTCGGGAGCTTTAAGCTTTGCGGTTCATGGCCACACATCACAGGTTGCAACGATGGATTCTGCTATGCTAAAGCCAGAATAAAATCAAAATCAAATTGCAAAGTCACCTTCTGCCAGGATCAAAATGATATTACCTGTGACCGGTGTGCAGCTAGATCTAAACATGCTTTGATTGGTAGTTTGCTGAAACACTGCCAATTTAATGCCGATTTGCTATATAGATTGTTGTCCTGATGTAGCGGTTGACTGGGACCTGGTATGTGCTCCCTTTCATAGTCAATGTATTTTGCGTCAAAGCACACTGGCTGCGGAAGTTGTCAAAACAGCACTGTTTCATGTCCCCGTGAATTTGTTCAACTTGCACCCATGCGGAAAAGAGAAAAACGGTGCAGCACACAAGAATACCATCTCTTTCAATTTGACATATCGATACGTATCTTAATAATACCCGTCCTTTTTTCTAATAGCTACAAGTCTACAAGTCCTTTTTCCACTCAACCCGATCCAATTCCCTCAAACACCACATCGGGTTCGTGTGGGGCACCAAAGGTGTCTGCAAGCCAACCTTCAGGGAAGCCCCTCTTTCTGTGCTCGGAGACCATCCACGTCCTGGCGGCCATTTTGAGACCTAGATGTGTTGCTTATGTTTTGCTTCATCTTGGGTGATGGTGCTGACACAAAGGAGATTCTCAGGTTCCGAATCAAGAGTCCTTTTCACCATGACTCGCTCAAACACTAGTCGAGCGAAATGGCACCATCATGCACTATCCATGCTTGAACTGTTTGAACTCGTACGGTTTGACAATTTATCTATTTTTGGGATATGCTTTTTCTTTTTTAATAAACACATATGTAAATGTCAAATATTAAAAAATACAATATATCGCAAATTGTGCCTGGCATGAAGTGTCTTGAAAGTCTTGCTTGCTTGAGTTAGGGTTTCAAGATTTGAAACAGACTGGGACATACAAGTAGTTTGCTTTCAGGTTGGAAGCCTATCCAACCATCCGCAAGTCATACGTTTGAGTGGAACATTTATAATCTTTCTGCCTTTCGATGTTGGTTGATTTCCATTTGCGTTAGTTTGTTAGAATTCTTGGTTTGGTATGTTGCAAAAGTATGCAAAAGTTGTAAAGATGCATGAAAGATGTGTCTGCCACAGTTCATATCTTTGAATTCGTATAGCATATCTTTTCAGGCTGTTTGCGAATACTTCCAAGCTTGGGCTGAGCCATACAACTGGGCGCCCAGCTCAAAGGCGGAGAAGAGAAGAGATGTACTCACCTTCAAAGATGCCGCGGGCTGACTGCAAGTTTTGGCTCCGAATTGGTTATCGTGTTCACACCTGGCTTAGCCTCAGATTGGCCAAGGCACTCCACCCATGACTCGGCCGGCCAGCAGCAAGGGGAAGTTGTTGAAATGTTCAAAGACATTCACGACAACCTGCAACAAGTTCAACATAGTTCAACTGATTCAGCAAATGCCATCGAGGAGGGTCCCAAGATGTCCCAAGTGAATCTGAGTCGGTTCTTCAGTGCAGTATAGCTGGACGTAGTTGGACATGCAGGCCGTTTAAAGCAGCAATAAAGCGAGTGGCACCAAAATGACACAAGGATACCAACGGACTCTGATTGCAGATACTGTAAATTAAAAAATGAAAAGAATTGAACAGAGATCAAAAAATAAAAATGAAAAGACGCGACAAGGTATGAACCAGTATGAACCACATGTTTGAACCATTTCAAATATGTTCAAATCATGTCAAGACTATAGTTGCAAACGCGTTGCAAAAGCTTGCCCCCTGGTGGGACCGAGCCTCAATGATGAGATAGACGATGCATCCAAGTTTTCGGCCCCAAATGTCCACATACCTGGGAACAAGACGGGAACAAGACGGGAACAAGACGGGAACAAGACGGGAACAAGACGGGAACAAGACGGGAACATGCGAAACTTGACATGCCATGGCTGCCATGAGGTATTTTTGCCGATGTTTGATATTTTTGAAGCAAGTTTGAAGCAATCTGCAGCCAATTCCTCCCAAGTAGCATTCCGACAATTGTTCCGAAGATGGCGGAGGATGTGAAGCCTTCCAACTTTGAAGGATGGAAGCTGAAGCTGAAGCCGAAGAACTGCACGTGGAAAAATCCATAAACATGGATGAACTCACCACGGATATTTTCCAAAGAATCTGTAGAATCAACAAAGAATCCAGGGAACCCACGTTTTGCATCGTTGGCAAGAATCGGGCTTTAGCTGAATGATCTGAATGGTTCCTGCATGTTCCTGCTAGCCTGTGATGAACAAGGCGCTGATGTCCACGTTGTAACTCTGGTAGAGAGTGTACATGTTTGTGCCCTGAGAGGTGAGCCGTGTGCGTTCCACAAATGATCAAACTTTGCAGTCTCTTGAAACCTAAAACAAATGCCAGCCTGAAGCCAGTCTGCACCCATGATGATGGTGTAGACTATCAAGTACCTAGCTGACAACAGTTCAGATATGCGTTGCACACCTCTAACATTCTACCCACTAGTACGCATTTGCCCATCAAGCAACAATCCACGGACTGATCTCTATCTTGGTACCAGATAGCATCACTTGTCTTCTCAAATACACATTTCATGTCAAGTCATATCCCCCAGCTCAAGATAGCTCAAGTGATTCAAGTGGGCAGGAGGTCACTGCCTTTGGAAGGACCGGAACTCTGCGAGTTTTTCTCCACTGGGTTTCTCTTCCTCCTCCTGCAGCCAAGATGCGACAGCAGAGCACAGTCGTGCGCAAATGGTAGACAAATGCTAGAAAGTATCAGAATGTATTAGACAAATTAGAATCAGTATCATATTAAATCATATAGTATCATGATGGTTTTTGGGAGTGAAACACGGAGCGGTAAGCCCTCCAACCTTGCCACCGCTATTTCTCTTGGAGGCGATTCGTTCACCTATTGCCACACAGGAAGTGATGCTGGCCTGAGACACAGCAAAGGTGACGACAGCCACATTGCTGCGACAGAAAGCGCTAACTTCACACCATGATCGTGAGTTTCAAAGGAGTTTCAAAGCAGTTTCAAAGGAGTTTCAAAGGGCGGCTGTTGCTTTTGCTAAACTGCTAAATGCATGCAAATGCGGACAAAGCACCAGAACCAAAAATGTGCGACTGGCCCAAGCAGGCCAGTCTGGCACTTGAAGAATCATGGCCAATGGGGTGCCCTGACATCAGTCATGGTTCACAAAGAGAGCAAGCTGTTTCTGCCCTTCCTGGAATGCAGCACTTTCATTGGAAGCGAACTCCTACAGTACTTTTGCAATTTTTAAAATGGATCTGGATTGTTTTGACATGTCATTTCCATTTAAAGAGAAACATACCGACACGAAGCAAAACCGAAAAGCATCCCCACAGTCTGACCTCCACGGCACAAGGGCCAAAGGGCTCTGCCCAAAATCAAAATTGAAAACCAGATGCGATAAGCTGCAAGCCATAGACAGCATCAAAATGTTCAAACATGTTCAGATAAATATTATCCCAAGACTGTCAAACCAAAGTCTGTGGATCAAACAAGGAGTTCCTTTGCTTGTGGCTCGTCTACAAAATAAAGTACGACTATGTCAATGACTCTCCAATCCCCCTTTTCTACAACTTAGGGCTCTCTTTGCTTTCCATGCTCATTATATAATTACGAGGCTTCTCAAATCGAACGCTGCCCTGAGAGAGCCGGCCAATCGTACTGACGCCACCGCTTTTGTTTTAGCAGCTCTTGAACAATCTCATGGGGCTCCACGCATTTCTTCTTGAAGGCTTGAGACTGACATTGCAACATCAAGGGGATCAAGCCTTGCTCCACCACAATCAGGGGACCCCCAGCCCACAATTCGCCCGTCCCCCAGAAGCGCCGCAAAGGCCGAACTGCAAGCAGCGAGCTCTTCGATATCTGAAAGATGCGCTTGGACAGCACTGCTATCACCGCCACTCTGCGGATCTCCCCAAGTTACCAGCCTTCCATCAGACCCAATGGCAGCAAAGGACTTACTGGATGCGACAACGTGGCTGATGCCTTGCAGCTGACTCTTGACACCCGTGCTATCCCCTCCAAACTCCTGTGCACCCCAAGTGATGACGCGTCCATCTCTGCGTAACGCAGCGAACGAATATTGCGACGCGACAATTTCTGAAACGGACACGAGCTCATCTTGGACAGCTCGACAGTCCCCTCCAGAGTCTGGACAGCCCCAGGTCGCAACTCTTCCATCAGCCAACACAGCAGCGAAGGCTTTGGCTGATCCTGAAATGCTCTTGACATCTTTCAGCTCATGATCTCTAGCACTTTGGCCTCCCTCATTGGAGCCCCAAGTTATGACTGTGCCATTTTTTCGGAGAGCTGCAAATGCCAGACTCGTCGAGGAGACCTCCTTTACGTCATGGAGTTCTACCTGCACTGCAGAACTGTCTCCGCCAAATTCACTGCTGCCCCATGTCACTACACACCCACCTTTGCAAAGAGCTGCAAATGCATACCTTGCGGCAGTTATCACTTCTACGTTGACTAGTTGTGATTGAACTGCAGTGCTATTGCCACCAGAATACGGTAGTCCCCATGTGACAACCGTTGCATCTTTTCGCAGGGCAGCAAAGGCTGCGCTGGCAGCAGCAATCTTGCGCACTCCAACAAGTTGCCGCCTCACCTTTTTGCTATCTCCACCCCACATGTGGTGACCCCATGTTACCACCTTACCACTGTTCGTAATTGCTGCAAATGCTTGGCTGGAGGCAGAAATGTCTTGAACATATTGCAACTGCGGCTGCGTACTATTGCTGTTGCCCCCACGATCCATATCTCCCCATGTCTCCACAGTTCCATCAGCCTTCAAGCACGCAAATGCCCCGGCATGTTGGTTCGAAAATATCCTGCATCTTTGTACAGTCACATAAAGGGTATCGTTTGCTTGCACTCCCGCTCCTTCTAAGGTCCCTTCACTGTCTAAGACTTCACCCCTGAGAGATACAGTGCTGATGGCAATTTGAAACTCTTGCTGCGCTCGCTTCCTTACGTAGCTTACCCGGGTGGTGGATGTCACTGACAGCAGAACGGATTGCCCACTAAGCATGGCCACCTCGATGTCATACATGTGTTTCACGCAGAGTCGGCGTTTCGCTTCACAACGAAGTCCGCATTTGATCACCCATGGATACCCATGGCACTTCTCAGTCCCCGAAGCTGAGAAACCACTTTGGATCCTCTCTAGCAAACACGCATGAGACCTGTTACTTGCCTCTTATTTGTCAAACATCGTTGGGGTGCGTGCACATGTGAGTATGTGTGTGCGTGTCTGTGTGTGTGTGCTATTGAACTTTGGATGCAGTGCGATCTGCTTTGCCTTCAGAGCTCCTGATGTTGGAATTCAAATGCCTCAGACAAATCTTGTCTTGTACTGAATTGAATGATCCCTTTGTGCAGTTGATCCCACAAGAGCAAAAGAATGTTTGACACATGAACAGAGAAAACAGGATATTTACAAAGTCGAATCCATTCTGGAATTGAATATTAGTGAACTTGTCATCGTCTCAGCTTAATTGTCAGGAAGCTGGAAGACTGGTTGCGTTTGCACTTCTACTGGTATTGCGCAGTGCAGCCGGCTTCTAGACCAAAGTGTCACGGGTCATCATGTCTTTGGATTGAAAGTGCCACAGGCTCTCCTGGTGTTTTTTGCCAGCTGCTCAGTCAGCAGATTCCAGCGCTGCTTCACCTGAGAATTCGCAATCACTGACAGTATGGCACAGCCCGCCCAAGTGCGTATTCCTGAGGGGTCGGGCCAGCATTATGTTGAGCTTTTGGAGCTATATCGAGAAAGTTCCATGCTTTTCGAGGGCCAAGAATTGGTCAGCTTTCTTCAATCCGCAGATTCAACGCAGAATTTTCATGAGTCCAGACATGGAATACAACAAATCCAACAAGGAAAGGACGCGCCAGGATAACTTGACAAATGTCACAGGACGATCTAGGATAATATTTGATTCGCCCAAATCCGCACACCCAGATAAAATGTGATTGGATTCTACATGCTCACGTGGTTCTACTATGTGGCATTATGTGGGCACCATCACTCCAAGCGTGTTGAATGATTTGAATGTTTGCGTTTCTGATTGGTTCTGCGTTGACTGGCGGCTGACCTCCAGCGCGTCAAGCTTGTCCGCACTGATCTGGCTTGACAAGCCTTGGGACGTTCACGCGATTTCACATGGGCAGTATCAGCGAAGCGGCTAAGCGCTCTCAAGTTCTGTTCTTTTGCATTGGGTTGTTCAATGAATCCAACACGTTATCTTCTGCGCAAGAGCGAAATTCTGTATCCTGAGAAGAAAGCTGTAGACCAACAAGAAGCGCAACATTACAGCCTGAGTTGCAGCATACTTGCAGTTTGACGTGTCATGCTCAGCATCTTGACGTCGCTTCGGTTCCAAAGGCTTACTCCTTTCTTCAGAATCAACGAGGAAGTCTCAATCCGAAGGAGTTCGGACAGCTTCCCATGTGTTGCGAAATCTGCAACGAAAAAAAACACGCTTGCTGGGTCGATCGGGCAAGACCTGAGTTCGGCGCAGCTGGGTCGGTCACAGTCGTAATGCCCTCGCTGTGTCTTTGGTGCACACTTGGGTCATTGATGTACTCCACCACTGCAAGTATTTGGAGGGCCTTGCCGGGTCGTCAGTCTGGATTTCTTACCTGTAAAAAGCATCTGGCTTGTGATGGTTTATGTTCTTTCTTTGGGTCATGCTAGAACAAACGAGGAACACGCCTCACCAACATTGGCAGCATAGCGACTGCCAGCAAAGCCACCACAGTAGTGCTGCGCAGTGGTGACTTTGTCTGCCAAATAAAGGCCTCCGATTAATGATTAGCAAACTGCACATTCCTTCAGGAGGTGGGGTGTTTCCGAGACTTGGCGGCAGGCAATGATTCCTTAAGTTGCCATTGGCAGAATTTGAGAAAACATTGCAATCACTCTTCCGACTCTTCTGCACTTTGTATTATTCTCTTGACTGACCTCAGACTGAACAAATTGCCAAGGAAACACTCACAAAGCCAAAACACCCGTGAATGCATGAGATTCTAGCCTGTCCCAAAGCGAGCACCACTTCTCATCAGCTCGGTGTTGGAGAGAATTTGCAAACCATTGCGGATAATGGAATACCTTAAAGTGGCCGGAAAAGATCAACTTTTCTGAAACCAAACGGTTTTGTTTCTGTTGAACAGGTGGATCAGAACAAATACGGCTGATGCCAAAGCGCTTAGCCAAATCAAAGTGGCCAGTTTAGATCTACAAACTTTACATAATTATATACCAGCTTGGGCTTCCACCCCAAACTGCTCTGGATTTGTCAGTTTTTTTGGGCCCCCAGGCCAGTTCTGGAGCGGGCTGCCATGAATACCGAAGCTGGAGCCAAAGTCTTCTCGCCACTGGCGAAAGACCGCTTCTTGGGCTGGCGCCGCCTGGGTGCTTTACAAAAAGCTTCCCCAGACGAGGCTAACCCTTGTTGACCCTTGTTGACCCTTGTTTGTCCTTGTTTGTCCTTGTTTGCAGAGCACCTGTAGCACAGCCAGTTGCTGAACGCCGGGCCCTGTCACCATGGAAAGCTGCTCTGACCTTGCAAAGAAGGATTTGTCCATCAACGTGGCTATGGGTCATAGTTGGGTACCCCCAAATGAAATGGTTTACCGCAATAAGTTACTCAGACTTGAATTATGGCCTGTACCACACTGACCTTTGATTCCCTCCCAGCACCTCTTCAAAGGGTGGAGTGCAAGCGGGCAACTTGCCAGCAAAAAACGCAGGACCGGGTAGGTGTTGGGACCTGTCACGATGCAGTTTTGAGGCCATCGTGCAATTCTTGTTTCTCTGCGGTGCGGATTTCCCATTTGGATAGACCAGACTTCCTGAAACTTTATTACGCTGATTTGAAGACTCTGCTATGTCCACATCTTTACATCAACATTTATGACATCAAATGTCATCTTTATATAACTCTACTATATATATATTATATATATATAATCAAAAAACTATATAACTAAACTACACAGCAACATAATTCATGTTTTCCCAGTAGTCACTCTTCGAGATCTCGGAGGTCTAGCATTGCCTGCATGGTCAAGGAGATGCTTAAGCTCCTCCTCACTGGCCTGACGTAGAGGTCACACAAAAGATTTGAGTTTTTCCCCAGATAGCGAAGCTATTGGGGTTCTTAAGTACAGGATGAGTTGGATATGTGCGTTTTGATGCCGAAGCAAAAAAGGCGAGTGCTTGGTTGCCACCAAAGACTATGTTTTGCTATCTGGGGTCTATGCTGGCGTATTTTCAGATTTTTCAGATTCCATGAGGCATTTGAAAGTTGAAAATTGATGAAAATTGATCAATCCATGTCTTATAGCTTTGTGTAGTTTTGCGCGCCTCACGTCAAATGACAGTCGCCCAAGCTTTGACGCAGGGAACTTGGCAAGTTATCGCATCTGAAATTAAAAAGGTCAAAACAGGCCGCTCAGCCTGGCACAATTTCTCTGCAGAAGGCATCTGAGCGAGCATGGCAGAGATGCTGCCGTCAGTTGCAGTTGCAGGGACCTGTGCCGACGTGTTCGGACTCTTTGCAGCTATATGGCTTTGCGATCTCAGCATGGAGAATGATGCACTGTTGAACCAGTCGTGCCTCATCGCAGGGCTGCTGCTCCGTGTGGAAAAGCCAATCAAATAGGCCTGCGGGAGCAAAATCATCCACGGCAACTCATAGGCAATCTCGATGGGCTCAGAGCAGCAAGAAGTATCAAAACTTCACTGGTCGGCTACCTTTCAGCAAGTGAAGATTGTCTGCTTTTCTTGTTGATCCTACTCATGACGTGTAGTTGCCAGTGGTCAGATCCATGCCAGTTGCAGCCACAATGCGAATTCACCAGGAGAGGACAAATTCCCGACCTCTTGTCTTTGCAGAGGCAGCCGCTGTAGAAGCCCTGTTCAAGCATCAACTCTTCGCTTCAAAAAAACTATTGAAGAAAAGGGTCGTGTCTCTTTCAAGGCTAGGAGCCCTGAAGTTCATCAAGCATCATGAAGTATCAAGCACACCATATCACACCATTTCATCAATGCAAAGAGCGGGTGCAACAGGTTGCAACAGGACCAAAGAGCTTCGAGTCTCCTTTTTCGCATCTGGGTGAAACCGAGTTGGAGTTGCATACATGTGCGAATCGAATGTGTCTAGGTCCTAGGTCATCTGGAGCGGTTCAGCCCGCAACCATCCTTTTTGGAGAGTGCGCTCAGGGCTGCTTTCAGCAAATTGAAAGTGGAATCAAAGCAAATTAGCATGAGGTTCACTTCAACTAAATGCAGACACATACTGTACGGCAGAAAGGGCAAGGTATCCTCAAGAATACTATTTTGAGAGCATTTGCTTGAACCCTGTCACCCAAGGTTGGGGCACCAAATGAAATACGTCAGTCCGATGCCAGTTCGTACATTCATAAGGACTCAAAGTGTGAGCGGCGTGCCTCGATTTAACATACGTATAGCTGCTGGTCTTAGAAGATCTTAGAAGCTTCTTGAATCACTTGAAGTCAAACAACTTTTGGCTACGTGGACTTCACTCCTTTCCAACGCCAAGGTTTGATTCGCCTTCACTTTCTTGGCCTCAGCAAGGCCAAGAGAGAATAAGAGAGATCAAAAACACTTCTGTATAGAATGGCATCTGCTGATTACGGGGTAAGTGGAGAATCCATCAAGAACTTGCGGCGATGCACTGAGATTCTGTCTTGCAGCACGTTGAAATGGCTGGATACTGATGGAAGCTGCACGAGCTCGAGATTTGCTTTTGGCTGAAGCCTAGCTTGTCGAGGCGACCAGGATATCCAGATCGAAAGGCCGCTATCCCTCCCATTCTCTTCAAAGCTTCCACTGACAATTTACAACATGCTCTCAACGTGCTGCTGGATGCTGCTAGCCTTGCCTTGAAGCCCTTGCAAGGAGACTCAGGCGCTGCGTAGCTTTGTGCTTGAACTGCACAGTGCTGAATGAGTTGGTCCGGGCTGCGTTTGCATGTTTTTTCATAGATGCACACGCCAAGCAGGGGGCCAGTTTTTCTTTACCTCCACAACTCTCTCTCTCTCTCTCTCTTCTCTCTCTCTCTCTCTCTCTTCTCTCTCTCTCTCTCTCTCTCTCTCCTCTCCTCTCCTCTCTGCTCTGCTCTTCTCTTCTCTTCTCTTCTCTGCTCTGCTCTTCTCTTCTCTTCTCTGCTCTGCTCTGCTCTGCTCTTCTCTCCTCTCCTCTCCTCTCTTCTCTTCTCTGCTCTGCTCTTCTCTTCTCTTCTCTTCTCTGCTCTTCGCTTCGCTTCGCTTCGCTTCTCTTCTCTTCTCTGCTCTTCTCTTCTCTTCTCTGCTCTGCTCTTCTCTTCTCTTCTCTGCTCTGCTCTGCTCTTCTCTTCTCTCCTCTCCTCTCTTCTCTGCTCTGCTCTGCTCTTCTCTGCTCTTCTCTTCTCTTCTCTTCGCTTCGCTTCGCTTCGCTTCGCTTCGCTTCGCTTCTCTTCTCTTCTCTTCTCTTCTCTTCTCTTCTCTTCTCTTCTCTCTCTCTCTCTCTACACGATTCTACAGGTCTCCAATGACATGAGCGCGCGCAGAAATGCAAGTATTTTGTGCGCACAGTTCGAGTCACATTGACATGAACCTTTGAGGCTCCTTCAGAAGTGCCCAGGATGCCAGCACTCAAAACAAAGCTCACTTGAAAATTTGGGGTACCCATTTGCTCATTGCCATGGTGATGTCAGCAGGTCATTTTCAGGAGTCCTCTCCTGGTTGGCCCAGTGGAGCGCAAGTTGCCAGCCAGGCACCCAAAGGCCCTGCCAAATGACAGCTTCGTAAGCTGCACCCATACTGCCGGAGACCTGCACCGTACTTCAACATGCATCACATTGCATCACCATGTTGGTAGTTTCATCATGTTTCATCATGTTTCAACATTCAAAAATTCAGCACAAAATGCATCAAAATGCAACATCTCTCGCCTGCTAGATCAGGTTTCGGAAGCCAAGAAGGTTGAGGAAGTGCTGCCTTGTCCCTCAGTTCAGCTGTGGGTCATTGATGCACAAGAATCTGTCAGTTCATCTCCTACGCTTTCAGGAATTGCACATAAAAAGTTAGTCTGCAGTTCAAGTTTCAGCAAATGTTTGTTCGAATTACCTTTGAGGTCCAAGTAAATTGTCGTCAGGTCAGTGAGCTTTGAAAGATCTGCAACAATTCAGTGGGTCAACCCGAAACAGGAGTTGTGAGTGAGCTAAACCATATGAAACACTAAAGGAATGCCAAACACCCAAGATTCTTTTCTAGTCGTTGTCTATGCGCTGCAATGAGCACAGACATGCAGTCGAGGAAGTCTTCCCGCGCCTGGTCAAGAGATTGTATGAGTGTTGAGTTCCCATGTGAACACAGTGTTGATCGGCCATGGGTTTCTATGAAAATCGGATAATTAAATCAGTCTCATACAGTTTTATAATTTATTTATATAAACATATTTATTCAATGTTTGTTGATTCTCTGTGAAAAATGTTTCATCAAAATCCACGCAGTGACACGTGGGCCTCAGAGCTGCGGAGCAAGAGTGGCAACGGCTGACTGGCTCCATCCAGAAGTACCAAGCATGCGAGCTCTGCCTCCTCTGCTACTGCCTCAGCAATGCTCTGCCAATGGGAGACCATCTTGAATTGGGGCATGTTTGTCACAGTATGTCACAGTACTGAAAAGCGGAGCCCACCTTGACAGTTCTTGCTACTTGACAACCTCATGCCATTTAGGTGAGGGCATATTTATTGCCATTGATCATGAGAAATCCGCCGACCCCTGCTGACAGCAGGGGGAGCTCTTGGTCGAGAAAATCCCGGTCCCGGGAAAGATGTTCCCGGTCAAGGGAAAGAGGGACCAGAGAAATGCCTTACGAAGCCCACTGGTTCCCTCTGCGAAAAGAGATATGCCTACAGCGCGAACTTTGGAAAAATGTAATGATACTTGCACCAAATCCCTTGTACAAAGGTGTAGCCACCGTGGAGAAATGGGGCGCGTCAGAGAAGCAATTACACGCAGCAAGTCGTACAAGCAGAAAGCGTCAAAGTGCCGACGCAAAAGCAAAAAAGTTAAGCAAGTTTAAAAAAGGGAAAGGAGAAAGCAATCAAGCGGCACGAGCAGGAAGCAAGTAAGGAAGAAACAGAAGAAGAAGGAAGAAGAAGAAGCAATTACACTCAGCAAGTCGTACACGCAGCAAGTGTCAAAGTGCCGACGCATGTCCGTCCTTTAGTTTCATGATGTTTCGGTGCTGCGAGGCCAAGGTTTTGGAGGCTTGCAAGCTGGAATTTGGAGCTAGTTTCTAGTCGCGGCAGAAAGCAACGTTAGGCACCCGCAGCCGTTGGCCGATGGCACGATCCGTCCTTCAGTAGCAGGCTGTTTCGGTGTGGCGAGCGAGTCGTTTTGGAGGCCTGAAAGGTGCAGTTTGGAGCTAGTTTCTAGTCAATTCAGAAAGCAACGTTTGGCACTATGGATTGCCGGCCGCGGTGTGCAAAGACTTCTTTGTGTAACAGCGTCTGTGTGTAACAGCTTCTGTGTAGAAGCGCCTTTGTGCGCAAAAGCTCCTGTGTAAAGGCTTCTCTGTGTAAACGCTTCTGTGTGCAAACGCGTCTGTGTGTGAAAGCTCTCTGTGTAATCATTTCTCTGTGTAAAAGCTTCTGCGCGTAAAAGCTCCTCTGTGTAAAGACTTCTCTCTGTGTAAAAGCTTCTGCGTGTAAAAGCCAGTCTGTATAAAGACTTCTCTGTGTAAAAGCCTCTCTGTAAAAGCTTCTGTGTCTAAGAGCCGCTCTGTGTAAAAACTTTTCTGTGTAAAAGCCCCTGTGTGTGTAAAAGCTTCTGTGTGCAAACTCGTCTGTGTAAAAGCTCCTCACTGACCAGCAGCATTTATCATCATATTTTCTTGTGTGCTATCTTCTCGTCTCCTCCCTTCAGCTTTCTTTCGGGCCACACTGTCGTCTAGTTTCAGTCTGTAACGTCGTTTCTTGTTGAAGAATGCCAAGAACATGTGAATGAAACAGCATCTGTGTGTAACAGCTTCTGTGTGTAAACGCCCTTGTGTGTAAAAGCTCCTCTTTGTAAAGGTTTCTCAGAGGCTTCTCTGTGTCAAAAACTTCTGTGTGAAAAAGCTTCTGCGTGTAAAAGCTTCTCTGTGTAAAGGCTTCTTTGTATAAAACTTCTGTGTGTGTGAAAGCTTCCGTGTGTAAAAGCTCTCTGTGTAAAAACTTCTTTGCGTAAAAGTGTCTGTCTGTAAACGCGCCTGTGTGTTAGAGCTCTCTGTGTAAAGACTTCTTTGTGTAACAGCGTCTGTGTGTAACAGAATCTGTGTAGAAACGCCCTTGTGTGTAAAAGCTCCTGTGTAAAGGCTTCTCTGTGCAAACGCTTCTGTGCAAACGCGTCTGTGTGTAAAAGCTCTCTGTGTAATTACTTCTCTGTGTAAAAGCCTCTGTGTGTAAAAGCTCCTCTGGGTAAACGCGTGTGTGTGCAAAATCTCCTTAGTGCAAAGACTTCTCTGTGTAAAAGCTTGTGTGTGTAAAAGCTCCTCTGTGTAAAGACTTCTTCTGTGTAAAAGCTTCTGCGTGAAAAAGCCAGCCTGTACAAAGACTTCTCTTTGTAAAAGGCTCTGTGTGTAAAAGTTTCTGTGTCAAAAAGCCGCTCTGTGTAAAGGCTTCTTTGTGTAAAAAAAGCCCCTGTGTGTGTAAAAGCTTCTGTGCGTAAAAGCTTCTGTGTGTAAACGCGTCTGTGCAAAAGCTCCTCACCAGCAGCATTCATCATCATATTTTCTTGTGTGTTATCTTCTCGTCTCCTCCCTCCAGCTTTCTTTCGGGCCACACTGTCGTCTAGTTTCAATCTGTAACGTCGTTTCTTGTTGAAGAATGCCAAGAACATGTGAAAGCATCGCTCAATTGAACATAAACAGCGCACAAAGTGCTGTAATTTACAGCATTTTGCGCTGTCAGATGGCAAGAACCCGCGCAAAGTTTTTATCCTTGAAACTGGATAAAACGGTGTTATTTGCAGGGTTTCGCTCACCTCACGATCTTCGATTTTTGGAAAAACGCGTAAATACCAGCATTTTTTGCATTCATCAAGGCAAAAAAACGGTTCAAAAAG